CCAGGGCCCTCCCCAGGGAGACAGGGCCCACCTCTCGCCTCGCCAAGGTCACGGTCCCGCCCTGGTGCTTGGGCTTTGACTAGAGGTTAGCTCTCAGGGCCATGCTTCTCCAGAAGAGAAAGATGTCCCTGCCGCTGGAAAAAGGGAGTGGGATGGTGGTCCTCAGAGTCCCGAGGATGGTATGTGCCACACACCAAAACTGCTGTGCCCGGGAGGCCCAGAGGGCTGTGGGGGCCGTGGACATGGGCAGCCGCTGCCCTCCCAGAGCCTGAAGAGCAGCCAGCCCGGGTCCCCATGTCTCCGTGCTCCCCGTCCCAGCAGGCCCAATGCTGGCCTCAGGGAGGCCCGTGGCCAGGGTGAAGGCCTTGTCTGCAAGCCCCACCCCCCGGGGGGGGGGGTTGGTCCCTGGAAGTTGTTACTTCAGGCTGGTCTGGCTGTCCCAATGGGCAGAAGCATTTCTGACAGGCCCTGGAGTTTGGGCAGGGGACCATGAGGGCTGGGCCCCCACTCTGCACAGGAGCTCAGACAGACACCAACCCCGGGCAGCCAGGATGTGACCTGGGTGGGTTCACCTGGAGGCTCCCTCCCCAGGTAGGAGTGGCAAGTAAAGAGATCCTATGGGTGGCCATGGCCCAGCAGGCTATGGGACAGGCCTGGGAGGCTCTCAGGCTGCATGCAGCAAAGGGATGGGCAGCACTGGGGGTGCAGAGATGGGGGTGGGGACACCCCTTTTTAAAGATTTATTTAGGGGTGCATGGGTGGTTCAGTCAGTTAAGCATCTGCCTTTGGCTTGGGTTGTGGTCCTAGGGTCCTGGGATTAAGCCCCACATGGGGCTCCCTGCTCAGCGGGAAGCCTGCTTCTCCTTCTCCCACTCCCCCTGCTTGTGTTCCCTCTCTCAATGTCTCTGTCACATAAATAAATAAAATCTTAAAAAAAATTTTTTTATTTATTTGAGAGAGCGAGCAAGCGAGCACAGGGAGGGACAGAGGGAGAGGGAGAAAGAGTCCCAAGCAGACTCTGCACTGAATGGGGAGCCTGAAGTGGGACTTGATTCCACCACCCTGAGATCAGGACCCTGAGCCAAAACCAAGAGTCGATGCTTAACCAACTGGGACAGCCAGGCACCCCCTGGGGACACCCTTTTTAAGGTCAGTCTGGTGCATCCAAGCCAGACAAGATGACTGTCTGCTATTTATTTTTCTGACATCTTCTATTTATATTCATGGTATGAAGTGTCATTTAAAAAAAAACTGTAAGTGAAAAAGTGAATGGATTTTTTTTAAAGATTTTATTTGAGAGAGAACAAGCGAGAGGCAGAGAGATAGACTGAGGGAGTGAGCACGGGAGGGGCAGAAGGAGAGGGACAAGCCGACCCGCCCCCCAGCCCAGCCACAGTGTGGGGGTGGGTTTGGGGGAAGATGCTTAGATCTGCAGGGAGGGCCCATCAGGCTGAGAGAGTGACCTGGGGGTTCTAGGAAAGAGAAGGGGTCAGGGTGCAGGAGTGGGAGAAGTGGGTAAGGTTGGTGGTGCCTACTTAGGGCCTGTAGGTCATGTGTCCAGTGGGACTCTGACTTTCCACAGTTGGAAAGCTGGTGTTTCAACGTTTACACAAAAGAAGTTTTCCTGGCTCTGGTGACTTTGAAGTTCAGGGGATTCTTTGCTTCAGGCGAGGCTGGATCCAGACGTTTGGAGCAAACACTCTGGCCGGGTTCCTTGCCCCTCTCAGGGGTTGGCTTCATTCTCAGACCAGCTCTTCCCACACAACATCTTTAGGCAACAGCGAGCAGTCCACCCCTCCAGCAGGGAAATCCTCTTCCCTGTGAGCTTCAGCAAAGGCTCAAGGCCAAGGAACCAAATGGTCTCACTGGCCAAGACCTGGGGGCCCCACCGACCCCTGGGCAAGGGTGGGTGAGCCCCACCCAAACCCCCATGGACTGAGGATGGAGAAAGGAGGTTCCCAGAAACGGGGGTCACTGCTACTGGAAGTTGGAATGGTTGCGGGGCAAGTGGGCACCACCCTGGCCATGATGCTGCGGGAGGACCCTGGGGTCAGCTTTGGCGGGTAGGCTGCGCCTTCCCTCTCTTACGCCAGCCTGGCGGAACCCCAGCACTCAGCCACCAGCCGTGCGGCACAACCCAGGCTCCCGCCTCTGGTTTCCAGTGGGACTGCCCAGGAAGGTGACTCCAGGCAGAAGTGGGGGGGCCACCTCTTCCAGCCCACCTCCACCTCGCCTCTGGGGTCCTGAAGGAGGCGGATGAAGGAAAAGCTGCTGGTGCGCGTGTGAACTTGGAACAGTGCACCACACATTCTCTGCACGGGGGAGGCGGTCCATGCTGAGTGGTGTGCAGGGGGCCCTCATCTTTGCAGTCCTGCCCACATGCCCTTTCTGGTGGGAGGGAGGCCACCAGCGCGACACTCAGCTACCTGGGGAAGCTGACCCTCAACCTCCTCCTCCCCTCCCCTTAACAGAGCAGAGATTACAACAGGCTCAGATGCTCCTGTAATCCCCACTAGCCCTTATATTTCTGGGCAGGGGGCTGCTGAAGGGGCTCTCGCTGGAGGTTCTCAGGACTTGGATCCAGGATCAGAGAAGGACTGTCTCTGTGGCCCCAGATGAAAGGGTGCCAATCCTCCCACGTTCCCTTCGGGCTGTGGCTGGTGGCATGCGGGTTCCAGGCCCTCAAAGAGCCAAGCGCTGGGACCAGGCCTCAGTAGGACTAGAGAAGGTATCCCTACTGGCCGTTGGCAGGGACAGCTGTCGGGACAGGTATGGAGGCTGATGTGGGGTAAAGGGTGGGGGAGTCCTTCATGGTCTCTGAGAACAGTTCCTTTGCTTCATTAGCCCAGAACCCTCATGTGGGAAGAAAGGCTTTCTTCTCCCCAGTCCTGCTGCAGCCCCACAGAACCGGCACAGGGACACCTGGGCACAACTCTCTCCCCACTGTCACCTGCTCTGTGCCCCCAGTAGGCAAGATGCCCTGGACAGAGCAAATGCCCACGACGGGTTGGGGGGGGTACGGACAGCAGAGCCCTCAGCCTCATGGTAAGGCCTTCCACCCGGCCAGGAGTTGCCCTGACCAGGAAAAGCTCCGCACTGGTGAGCCCCAGCCTCAGAACAGGCTCAGGGTATGGGCACCAGATTCCCCAGGGAGGCATCAGGCTGGATTTAAGTGGATCTCTACTTCGCCAGCTTTGCAAAACCCTGAACAGCCCTCCTGTTTCTGCCTGGCTCTTCTCTCTGGAGTGGGCTGCCAGACTGACCACCCAGGGTTCCTCCGGTCCAGAGATGCCATAGTAGTAATTTGGGCCACTGGAGACTATGGGGCCTCCCCTCTCCCCGATCCTGTCACCTGGGGCGGATGCAGTTGCTTCAGGCTCCCACTGGAAACTGAGGTCCAGGGAGCTCAGGGTAGGGACATGGGGGTCCCTAGATCACCATCACTTTTTGCTTCCCTATGGAAGCTCTTGAGTCCCCCCACCAAGCTGGGGCAGGAGTCTAAGCCCAGGGATCTCTGGGCCTGAGAGTGGGGTAGAAGCCAGGGTCAGGGAGTGCCCCTCCCCAAATCTTTACCCCCAACCCTTCCCCACTAGATACAGAGGCCTGCAGAGACCCCCATTCAGGGTCCCAGCTAGCTGAAGGGTCCCAACACTGAAGGGTGTTGGGGTCAGGGTCCTCTAGGCCGTAATGAGGCATGCTGGGCCTGGGTAAAGGGCTTCTGACCCTCAGCCTCCAGCTTCGGTAGAGGCCTTGAGATCTGGTGCTGACCTGATCCAGAATTTTTTGGGATGACCAGGAATTAGTAAGGCTGGGCGTGGGTGTGGACTCAACGATCTGTGCAGGCTACATAATCCCGGTCCTTTCCACCCCGCATCCCACCCCCCCCACCCCCCCACCCCCCCAGTGAAAACCGCACCTGGGAGGAGCTACAGGGAACCCAGGGCCCACAGGACAGCTGCCGGGGACCACTCTTCACCTCCCTGCCCAGGGCACAGAGTGGCCCCCCTCAGCCAGAGACAAGCCCCCTGCACCTGAGGTGTTTTTGCATCAAGTCCAGTCGGGTCAGGCGGACCCCTGGCCCTGGAGGGGTGTCCTGAGAGCCCGGTGCTCTAGGCAGGGGTGGTACTGAGGAACGGGGCGGTCTTGGGCAGGTCCTGAAGACAAGAGTAGGAGAGGGTGTGTGTCCCTCCTTCCCCGGTCGGTGCACCACGTGAACTTGTGGGAGACTTTTCCTTTTGTTCCGCCCTGACCCCCTTCGCGGGATATCGGGAGGGCTAGCCCAGGGCGTTATCTGTGCAGGGAAGAGAGGAGTAAAGGGCTGATTGGAGCAGAGGATGCTCTTGGACGAGAAGAGCGATTCAGGTTTTCACCAAAGGAATCCTCCTCTCTCCGGCGCCCCTCCCATGTGGGCGCTGTCCGTCTCTAAACCGGCGAAGGAAAGTTTCCGTCCTCGCCCTCTCCTCGTCAGGGCAGACCGACCCTTACTTTGGGTCCCCACCGCGGATCTGGGAGGGCGCGGCCCGGGACACAGTGACCCGGAGTCCTGCGCGCTCCAGGCCGCTGTCTCCCCTCCCTATCGGGAGCCACGGCCAAGGGCAGTCGAGGGACTGCCCTCGGGGGCCATGACTGGGGCCTCGGTCCCCCGGAAAGCCTCAGGAAAGGCCCGGCGGGGGCGAGGAAGGGGCGGGAATCCGCCCACTCGGCGACAAAAGAAGGGACAGGCGGCGTGGACCGCGCGCGCGGGGACTGCAGTGCCGCGCCCCCTCCCCTTCGCGATCCGCCCTCCCGGGCCCGCGGGCCGGCGAGGGTTAAGGGGGGCGGGGCACGCGGCGGCCCCGCCCCCCCCGCCAAGCCGGTCCGAGCGCGCACGGGGCGCGGGGGCGGGTCGGAGCGGGCGGCGGCGGCGGCGGCGGAGGGCGCGGCGCGCCGCGGAGCGCGGGGAGCGGCGGCGGCTGCGGCGGCGCGGCCCGCGTGACCCTCCGCCGCGCCCGCGAGCCCGCGCCCCGCCGCGCCGCCCAGCCGCAGGATGCGCGCCCCGCCGCTGCTGCTGCTGCTGGCCGCCTGCGCCGCCGCCCCGACGCCGCCGGGCTGGGAGCCGGCGGCCGACGCGCCCTGGTGCCCCTACAAGGTGCTGCCCGAGGGCCCCGAGGCGGGCGGCGGCCGCCTCTGCTTCCGCAGCCCCGCGCGCGGCTTCCGCTGCCAGGCGCCCGGCTGCGCGGCGCACGCCTCTGCCGGCCGCTCGCTGCGCGCCAGCGTCCTGCGCAACCGCAGCGTGCTGGTGCAGTGGCGCCTGGCGCCGGCCGAGGCGCGCCGCGTGCGCGCCTTCGCGCTCAACTGCTCGTGGCGCGGCGCCTACACGCGCTTCCCGTGCGAGCGCGTGCTGCTCGGCGCCTCCTGCCGCGACTACCTGCTGCCCGACGTGCACGACGGCGTGCGCTACCGCCTGTGCCTGCAGCCGCTGCCGCTGCCGTTGCGCGCCGAGCCCGCCGCCGCCCCGGAGCCCGCGGGGCCCGCCGAGTGCGTGGAGTTCGCTGCCGAGCCCGCCGGCATGCGGGAGATCGTGGTGGCCATGACGGCGGTGGGCGGCTCCATCTGCGTCATGCTGGTGGTCATCTGCCTGCTCGTGGCCTACATCACCGAGAACCTCATGCACCCGGCTTTCGGGCGCCCGGGCCTGCGCAGGCAGCCCTGAAGCACCAGGCGGCCGGCCCACCGGGGCTCTGCCTGCCGGGGATCGGCGCCCGCTCCCCACTCGTTGCTCCTGCTCCCTCCTTAGGATCTCCGCGCGGGGCCTGCTGGAGACCGGTAGGGCCCCGGCCCGCCAGGGCCTTGGAGTCACTGCACGACCTTCCTAGCCCGGCATCCGCCTCCCAGACTCCAGCTCGGGACTGGCCCTTGGGCCTGCGCAGGGGTGCCAGCCTCGTCCGGGGCTCTCCCTGCTTTCCAGAGGCCTTTCCAGGGGCCGCCAGGACATACAGCCCCTTCTGGCAAGAGCCACTGGCATCCCCGGGTCATCGCCCTCCACGTCCAGCCTGTGCCACGTTGGAAAAAACAGGCTGTCGTCATTGCTTGGTCACCGTGTGCTCTGCCGACTCGAGGAGGCGCCTTGGAGCCGGTCTTCTCCCCACCTCACCCCAGTGGGCTTAGATTAGCGTCGTGCCTTAGTGTCTTGGGCCCACTGCTAGAGCCAGCCACCCGTCCAGTGCTGTCCGAGGGGGTCTGTGGCCCTGGCACTGGCTGGCTTCCGGGCCAGAGTGTGTGCTTCCGGCCAGAGCCTCCTGGGAAACCCCCCTTCAAGCTTTGCAGGAGCCTCAAGTGTGGGTAAGCAGCGTCTGGTGGTGTTTCCCTGCTTAGGCGTCTGACATGCTGCAAACCATGATGTGGCGTGGCGGGTGGACCCAGCCTCCGATCGTCGCGTCCCGGGGCGAGTGTCCCCTGATCTTGGGGGAAGCTGGCAGTTATCCGGGGCTGCCTCTCATTTTCTTTTGTGGGTGCTGCTTCTGATGAGGGTTTTCCATGGTGAGTGCGGGCAAGTGGCTGGGAGGAGAGGGCTCGTCTCAGACAACAGTGTTGTATCCAGAGAACAGAAGGGTTGAGGCCAGCGTTGCCCAGCATACCTTGCCGCTGTGGCCTGGATCCCAAGCCTCAACCACAGCACGATGGACAGCACCATCCCACCCCTTACTCGCGTTGGCAGCCAGGAGCCCAGGATCTGGCTGGTGATGCGGCTACCCACTGGACTGAAGGCTGGCTTTGTCCCTTCCCAGGAAGACCTGAGCACCCTGGCCAGGGTTGCTTCCTGAGCCGGGCACCTGGCATCACCAGGAGGGGTAAGGCGCACTCGGCTCTCCGTGAGTCCCTGACCGACCATCCTGGACCTGGCACTTGTGGAGTCTCTGTGGCTAACCCCTCCCCACCCCACCTCCCGGCGGCCACCAGCGACCCCAGGTCCTGGCTGGTGCCCCCACAGTGCCCGCTCCCTACCTCTCTGTCTTTGCTTGGCCTGCCCCAGCACGGCGCTGGTCAGGCAGGAGCCTGGCGTCAATGTCTAAATGTCCATCATTTTAGACCAAAACCACTGTCTTGTGTGCTTACTGGGGAGAGGGGAGGGAAGAGCACAGGGTGAGGGGGGCGAAGTGGGCCCCTTTTTCCCTGTTTCAGGCAGAGGGACAGGCAATTCTGTCCACCCTCAGACCTTGAGAAAGCATCTTTCCTGGGCCTGCTGCGTTGGGTAGGGTCTGTGGGGACGGTATTTGCTGCAGTTAGAAATAGCTCAGTCTCCTGGGTGACCCAGTTGAGCTGTGACATGCGGTAATTAGGCAGCTCCAGGTGGGCCCCCTCCCCGGCCTGGGCCTCCCCGTGCAGTGCTAGAGCTAGGGAGAAGGTGGACCCCGGGCCCCTGTGGGGTGTGCACTCGGCCACCACCCACCCTCCCAAAAGCCCTCACCCTCCTTGGCTGTCCTTGAGATCCTGGAGCTGGCTGTGACCCTGAGGATCAAAAACAGCTGGGGCGGGCCAGGCTCTGAGGAGTGACTCATCCCTTTGGAGGGGGTGGGGCGCCGCAGTGTGTCTAGACAGCAGGGCAGAAGCGGGAGGGGTTCTTCACTCTGGCTTCCTAGGGGCACTATGCCTGCTGCAACCCCTCTTGACCTGTCGTGCACGTGGGGTGTCCTCCACAGATAGAAGTGGGAGCCCTTGGCAGCCCTGGCCTGAGAAACCCAGGCGTCTCAGCTCCTGGGTGCAGCTAGGTTCCAGGACTGGGGCCACTGTGAGGTTCTGTGAGGCCTGATCTCATCTCTTTCTTGCCCTCCCCTGGCCCCCCACCAGGTTTGGGGTCTCTTTGTGGGCTTGTGCTCAGACCAGCTGGAGCCACAAGCCTGTCCCGTCAGCTGCTCTGCAGGGCTGGTCAGCATGGACTTGCAGCCTTTCTGCTCCATAGGGTTTCATTCCAGGGGCTTCTTGAAGGACTTGAGTCCAGCTTTGGGTTTGCAGAGGTAGAGCTGAGCAGCCCTGCCCCAGCATGGTCCAGTAAGTGAGCCTGGGCTTGGGAGATGCCCTGGAGCTGGTACCCAGGCCGAGCACGTCTGCTTTTGAGCTCACTGCCATCCTCAGAAGCTGCTCCTTCCCCCCGTGGACCACCATTCTCCCAAGGGTGCTGGGGACGCCCAGGCTTTTAGCCCACCGAGCCCACCCAGTCCACCTGAAAGACTGACTGTGTCCCTGTCCAGTGGACCTTCTCCATCCCTACCACCTTCTGGAGGAGCCTCCCTCTCCTGCCCCCTTCTCTCCCTTTCTCTTCTCATCATGGTCTCGGCTCTGTGTGGCCAGTGGATGGACACACCACTCTCCTGGAGCATCTTCATGGCCTCCCTGTGCCCTGCAGCTGGGCTCTAGATGCCTCAGTTGTTGGTCGAGACTTTGCCTTTCTCCTTGGTGCCCGAAGATACTTCAGCTTACAATTTTCTGACGTGGAACAGAAACCACCGGTCTGATCCTGAAACACTGACGGGTTTCCGGGGCTCTCAGCCCCGCTCTGCCTTTGAAGAGCCATGCGGCCTTCGAAAGCCTGTTTATTCACCCGTAAAAAAGTAACAGTGATGGAACCGAATGCACAGGCTTGTTGCAAAGCTTACATGAGGTCAGGCAGGTAGAGATAAGTACAACACAGCCGTCGTTACTACTGTCCATGCCACCACTGGAAGTAACCTCTGGGCCGAGACCCCCAGAGCCACATCCCCAGCCTAACCCTACGCAAAATCTAGACATGTGGCCTTTCTTGAAATTCTCATTATGATGGCTTCTGTGTACAAAACAGAACTGATTCCCTGCTCTCTCCCCAAAGCTCATTCACAGCCTGTACGAACTCATGCTGAACGCCCTGTGTGGCCGGCTCTGGGGCCCCAGCAGTGACTGCGGGATGCTGACCGGCCCACCTAGACCCCTCCCCACAGCCTGTGGCAACTGCTTGCTCCCCTGGTCACTGAGGGTGAGCCCAGGTCCTCCCGCGCTGGGAGGCCATTCAGGCCTTGGGCTTCCTCAGTGCTGGCCCTTGGGAAGACCTCCCGCTCTTGGAGGCTGCTAAGCTGGAGTGGGGTGGGGGAGGACAACAAAAGGGGGCAGACAGGATCAAAGGCAAAGAGAGGAAAAGTTTCTTGAGGACCAGGTTGTAGAGCTGGCATTTCCCTGCTCATCTCAGGATTGGGTGTTAGGGCTGTTGGATCTGGCATTCAGAGACAGCCAGGAGCTGCCAAGGACACTGGCCTGGGGGACCGGAGTTTTAGCCGCTTCAACCTGGGTCTAGAGAGAGGCTGGGCCCCTGACACCCCCAGCCTCCCAGCCTTGCCACACCTCTGGTGCATCCATTTCTTTCCTAACTGCGGCCATTTCCTGTTTAGCTTTGATAGAAGGTGGTTACGGTTTTTATCTGTTTCTGGGCATGGATTTCTGCCATGACTCTCTTATCTGTAGGGATGTTACTATGCTTTTCTCTCCGTAAGTCTGCGTGGGATTCAACTGCCACTCTGTTCTTTTGGTCATGTGTAACAGAGACGGGTTTCCCTAGGCTCTTAGGTGAGGAGTGGGTGGGCCGAGATAGCTTCCCTGACTTCCCAACTCTAACACTGTTAAGTGATGTGGGAAACAAAGGCAGAAGAAAAATTATTAAATTTCCTACTACCTACAGCCCGTTAACAGCCCATCGACAAGTCCTTGAAACAGGCAGAGTGACCTTCCTTTAGGGACGCAGCTGCCTCGGTGTTGGTACTTTGCTAAGGGCAAAAGGCGGTCTTAGGCCGACCCCCAGGACCCTGTAAATCTACTTTAACATATAGAAATTCCTTTGTAGGGACGCCTGGGTGGCTCAGTTGTTAAGCATCTGCCTTCGGCTCAGGTCATGATCCCAGGGTCCTGGGATCGAGCCCCACGTTGGGCTCCCTGCTTGGTGGGAAACCTGCTTCTCCCTCTCCCACTCCCCCTGCTTGTGTTCCCTCTCTCGCTGTGTCTCTCTGTCAAATAAATAAAACCTTAAAGAAAAAAAAATTCCTTTCGAAACTTCCTTTATCTCTACCCCCCAAGATACATGTTGGCAATCATCTCCCAAGCATGTGACCCACTGATACACATCTGAAGGGTCTCATGACTCAGGTTTTATTAGATAGTAATAAACGATCTTTCCCAACAACAGCTAGGCCCCTCAGGATCCTGGAAAACTTGCTTCCAAAATTCCTTAGAGACTTACTCTATCCCTAACCCCCTCCCAACTTGAAAGTATATAATGGGCCACTCCTCATGACCCCACTGCAGCTCTTCCTGCCCACGGGTCCTGTCCCCGTACTTTAATAAAATCACCTTTTTGCACCAAAGACGTCTCAAGAATTCCTTATTGGCAGTTGGCTTCAAACCATAATGATTTTCTTACATCATTTTTTTAAAAAGATTTTATTTATTTGAGAGAGAGAGGAGAGAGAGAAAGCACAAGCTGTGGGGAGGGGCAGAGGGAGAGGGAGAAGCAAACTCCCTACCACGCAGGGAGCCCGATGTGGGGCTTGATCCCAGGATCCTGAGGTCATGACCTGAGCTGATGGCAGACACTTAACTGACTGAGCCACCCAGATGCCCTTTCCCTGCATCGTTAAACATGTGGCCTCGCGGTGTCTGGGATCTGCCTTTCCCCTCATCCACTTTTATCTGGACTTCCTTGTCCTTTGCCCTGTTGTCTCCATCCTGCTCAGTTTGGATTCTAGTCCCACAAGTTCATTCATGCCCATCCCCTTCTTCCCTCATTAGCAACCACTTTGATGTGTTCTCAGATACATCTGTGTTTTTTTTAACTTACCTCAAAGTTCTGCTGCGATCTTTATTGTCTTTACTCAACACCACATCTGAGATTTATCCATGTTGCAGAAAGCACAAATATTTAATCGCTTCTCTCCGTCGCATAGGATTTCTAGTGTATGCACCCACCCCACTCGCTTGTCCTCACCCCTGGGAAGAACACAGGTAGCTGCAGTACTAGTCATGATTCTCCATGAAAACCCTCAATCATGCTCTTCAGGGATGTGTGTGAGAATTGAGGGGTATGCATACTTAATTTCACCAAGATTGTCAGTTTGTTCTGAATGACTAAAGCAGCTAACATTCCTACCAGCAGTGCACTTGGGTTTTTATTGCCCTAATTTCTCACAAATACTGAGTATCAGGTTTTGTTTTTTGTGGGGTTTTTTGCCAGTCTGCTAGCTGTTTAGCAGTGACCCAGTTGTATTTGAATTTGCTTTCTTCTCATGCAGGAGAGGCCACAAGTCACTTACTATTCTTTTTTCTTTTTTTAAGATTTTATTTATTTGAGAGTGAGCGGGGAGGGGTGGGGGAAGGAGAGGGAGAAAGAATCTGAAGCAGACTCCTTGCTGAGTGCAGAGCCTGAGTTGGGGCTTGATCCTACAGCTGACCACAAAATCATGACCTGAGCCGAAACCAAGAGTCTGACATTGAGCCGTCCAGGTGCCCCACTTACTATTCTCATTAGACACTTAAATTTCCCCCTGAATGAACTGTTTATTCCTATTCTTTGTACATTTTTCCATTGCTATGAATTTTTCTTCTGGATTTTCAAGAGTTCCACAAATATTCGAAATCAGCACTGTCCAGGGGTGCCTGGGTGGCTCAGTCGGTTAAGCCTCTGCCTTCAGCTCAGGTCATGATCTCAGGGTCCTGGGATCGAGCCCCGGTCGGGCTCCCTGCTCAGCGGGGTGTCGACTTCTCCCTCTCCCTCTGCCCCTCCACCCTCATGCTCTCTCCCTCTCTCCTCTCAAAAAAAAAAAAAAAAAAAAAAAAATTAAATTAAATTAGCGCTGTCCAATAGGAGTTTCTGAAATTATGAAACTCTTCTTTATCTGTGCTGGCTACTGTAACAAATCACCATAAACTTGGTAAAAACAGCAGACATTTTAACAATTCTGGAGGCTGGAAGTCTGAAATTGAAAGGTCAGCAGGGTTGGTTCCTTCTGAGGGCTCTGAGGGAAAATCTGTTTCCCGCTGCTCTTAAGCTTCGGTTGAAAAGAAATCCGTAATTTTGGTGAC